AAATACATTTGGTGAGATCAGACTACTCTAAGTTACTTTATATTGTCTAAATCAGTAGTTTTTCAGACTGTGCACTGCTTTGTACTGCTGTGGGATGTCTTTCTGTACACTGTGAATATGTGTTGCTCTCACTGGCTGATAAATAAAGCTGCTTTTGCCTATGGAAAGGTAGGATAGAGCCAGGCAGGAAATCAGCAGAAATACAGGAGAAAGGTGGAATCTGGGATATACAAGCCAGCTGCCCATGAAGCAAGATACCAGCAGATCAGTAATGCCACGGCCACGTGGCAAAACATAGATTGGATTGGATTAATTTAAATGTTAGAGTTAGTAATTAGCATGAGCCATGAGTTAAATATTTATAATTAATATAAGCCTCTGAGTGGTTATTCGGGAACAGGCAGGCAGGAGAGAAACCTCCGTTTACATTGTACCAACTCCATTTTGCAATCAGCATTTCACTCTGTACCTTGGTGGACATGTACACGACACCATCTGTCCAGTCCCTATCACAAAGCACAGGCTGAGAAACAACTCATTACTAAGGTTAGAAAAAAAGGCCCAGCCCTATAAATATATTAAGAAAATGGGGACTATAGAAGTAAGCAGGATATTAAAACCGTATTAAATAAGTAAATAAATAAACAGGCCCAAGAACTTGTCAGACATACCAGACTGATAAAAGAGTGTAACTTCCTCACCTGGAGCCCATAAACAAGGGGACACAACACAGCAAGGGTATTGGTCCTACCAACCTGTCACAGTACAACCTGCTGTACATTCAGGGATGGACAGGTAGAGAGCTCCTGACTATCCCAGAGACTTCAGCTCAGCTCCATTCTCACTGTTGACATAGCCCTCTGAACTGCTATCTGTCCACCCAGCTGCTCATCTGTCTAGATCCAGTCCTGCCCTTTGCCTCTATAGCGTCCACTATCCCTCATTCTGCAGCTCAGCTTGAGCCCTGCAGCCTGACTCAGCAGCAACATCCTCAGCATCAATTTGTTAGCCCATAGATTCTTTCCATCTCTATCAGTTCTGCCTCTAGGGCCTCTTTGAAATTCCTTTCATTCTGCTATGGCCTTTTTAGCCCTTTGAAATCATTCCATAATATACATATACAGAGATTCACTGTGATGTGGAATGAACACTCTGATCTGAGAGATAATACTAGTAAATAAAATTGTGTTAAAATAACTTGCATTTAGCTCAGCTAGATCTATCAAGCAGAATGGGCTGCTCAACTAATCGTTGCCAACAAAACTGTCATACCTTGTAAATTTATGATACTTGATAAATCTGATGCAGAATAAAGACACAAATGTGATCTGTTTCTGACATAGCACACGCACATCATTCATTAAGCCTTAATATGTAACAAGGAAATACGATGATGTAGTTCTTATTAAAAACTATCTTTTCTAGTCTTAGCATTTTGTTCTAATATATGCTCTCCTTATGTTTTAAAGGCATGCTCCAACAACTTTTCTACTTAAAAATAAAGAGTAAGTCTAAACACTCGGATATATTCTCTGAATTGAGTCCTTAGCATCCCTTGCCAGACCCTTTCCTCAAAAGGAATTCTATGCCCAGTAGTGGTGGCCCACGCCTTTAATCCCAACACTCGGGAGGCAGAAGTAGGCGGATCTCTGTGAGTTCGAGGCCAGCCTGGTCTACAAGAGCTAGTTCCAGGACAGGCTCCAAAAGCTACGGAGAAACCCTGTCTCGAAAAAAAAAAAAAAAAGGAAGGAAAGAAGGAAGGAAGGAAGGCAGGAAGGAAAGAAAAACTTCATCCTATCTATAGAGAATGGAGATTAAGAAGATACTAATGATAGAGTAGCAAAATCAAATTTTCATTTCCCAAGCCACCTCCATTCCTGAATTCCCTGCCCCAAAGGAAGTTTTACTAAAGAATATTCACTATTCCCACCAAAATTCCATCTTGTCAAGTACTGTCATGTTTATCCTTCTAGAAGGAAAGGGTAATGGAGCGGACAAATAGAAGAAAAGAAATATTTTTAGGTGTGATGGAAAGAATTCATCTGCTAAACTTTATTAAAAACATGCCCCAAAGGCACAACTTTACATTGTTAAGAGAGGTACCTTTGTAGGTCTTCAACTATAGAGAGGTATAGAGTGATCATTTTTCAAATGATTTTAATCATTTAAGTGTTAATATTTTTTTAAATTCTTTTAAATTAATAATAATAATATATTTTTTAAAAAATCTTACATTTACAAAATATAAATGTGTACCATTAGAGAATTGCCCTACCCAGGTTCACAAAGAGCACTGCAGTTTTTGCAAAAAGTTATTGCTGGTTGACAATAGCTTTTTAAACACTGCCCCCTACTGTTCACATTCCACTTCCTATGAAATTATAAGGACCACTGAAATAAAAATAATCAAGCCTTTCCGCCTTTGAAATCAGTTTAGCATTTTTGTTCAGCAGGCCAGATTTTACAGATTAGGACAATTTCCACTATACAACTGTCGGGCTTCATTAAAGCAAATCCGAGGCATTTGAACATTACTCCCATCAGTAATACAGCCAACTCCAAACGGGGCAGAACTGGACTTGGGCAGTACTGACAACACAGTAGCAACACTGAGAAATGTCAGGAAAGACAAGAATCCCCATGGTGACATGGGCAACCTTAGACTAGTATAATCAGTCTTATTTTTAACAATTAAGAAAAAATCTAGCAAGAATGACAAACTTCTACAAAGGAAATGAGCCTTGCTTTATACCCACACAAACTCACAACTCGTAGATGACTTTTGCTTTCAAATGGTTTGGTGACTAGACTTTATGAATAGCTGCTTTGCTCCTGACTTCTACTGGTTCCAATATTTTTAACAATAAACAAAAGAGAGCAGCCAAAACAAATCTCAGGTAGAGGGCTCAACATCCTGTCATTACAAGTGTATGTCAGCACTTGTGCTGGCCAGGTTTCTGTTAGTGCGACACAAGCTAAGTCATGGGGAAATGGGAACCTCAGCTGAAAAAAACGCTCCCACCAGCTTGGCCCGTGGCAAGCCTGTGGTGCGTTTTCTTGATTACTGACGTGGGAGGGCCCATCTTACTGTTGCCGGTGCCACCGTGGTCCTGTGTGCTATAAGAAAGTAGACTGAGCAAGTCATGAGGAGCAAGCCAGTAAGCAGGACTCCTCTGTGGCCTCTACTTTCCAGGTCCCTGCCTTACGTTCCTTCCCTGATTTACCTGGATGTTGAAATACAAGCTCTAAGGTGAAATAGACCCTTTCCTTCCCAAGTTGTTCTGGTCATGGTGTTTCATCACAGCATTTCCAAGACTGCGAGGTGTGGAAGGTGATGAATCACTTAATATTAAATCAAGAAGCCTAGGGGATTTATCATATAATAATTGACACAATAATGGAGTTCATGATGTGATTTTCATTTATGTATATATTTGGATCATATTTACCCATGGCACAATCTCCTACCCCATCCTGATTATCTTTATTCCTCTTTCCAAATGGCCTCTCTTTTGACTTCATGTTTTTAAAACTCTAGATTCAACATATAAGAGAAAATATGCAATATTTGTCTTTCTGAGTCTCATTTTGTTTAACAAAATGACCTCCAGTTCCATCCATTTTTCTACAACTAACATGATTTCTTTCTTTATAGCTAATTAAAACTTAATTATGTCTGCACACTACATTTTCTTTATTTGCTTATGTGTTGCTGGTCAAACTACACTGATTCCTTAAGACTGTGGAATAGTGCAGTAATATGCCCTATTAGATATCTCAAACATATGCTGACTTTAATCCACTTTGGCATAGACCCAGGAGTGGTATAGCATAATCATACATTATTTTAGGTTTTTGAGATGCTGTCCTTATTAGTTTCCACAAGAGCCATAAAAATTTATATTCTCACCAAAAATGTATGAGTTTTTCTCCCCTACCTGCACCCCCTCCAAAGTGTTTTGTTGCCTGCTTCCTTAAAGGGTAGCCATTCTGACTGGGGGAGGCAGAAACTCAATGCAGGCTTGATTTGCACTTCTGTGGTGTCTAACAACGTTTAGATTTTTTAATGTAAGAAGCTTGGATTTTAAAACTATTTACTATTAAACAGTTGTGTAGACTCAGGTCCCTTAGCAATTCAGGCCACTGTCTAGATATTATGCTAGTGATCGTCAGGAGGTAGCAGTGAAAGGAAATAGAGACAGATGAGAGGGGTTTTACTCCAGAATGCCTTGCCCCATATCTCCCTAATCTCCTAACACTACCACTAAAGAATGTGTTCCATCCATTTTCCTCTTAGCTGAGAACTACTGTGGTATATAATCTTTCTCCAAGGCCTTTTCTTCATTAAATCTCATAATTTGTGGTAGCACACATACTTGTAAGCCTAGCACTGAGAAAATGAAGACAGGAGGATCAGGAATTCAAGATCATCCTTGACTACGACATAGAAAGTTCAGGGCCAGCCTGGCCTACATGAGACCCTGGGTCAAAAAAAAAAAAAAAAAGGACAGAGAATTGGAGAAATGACTCAGTGGTAAAGAACACTGGCTGCTCTTCCAAAGGTCCTGAGTTCAATTCCCAGCAACCACATGGTGGTTCACAACAAAATGTAACGGTATCTGATTCCCTCTTCTGGTGAGCGTGAAGAAAGGTCACTCATATACATAAAATAGTCATGGGGGGTATAGCTCAGTGGTAGAGCATTTGACTGCATATAATAAATATTTTTTTAAAAAAACTACAGAATTTGAGAGTTGGAAGAAAACTCAGAGTTCCACAATAAAAACTGAAAGCCCAGAAAACCCTTTGATCCTAACTATAGTTATGTACAACTGTGGATTTGGGAATTCAGAGAAATATGAATAGCCAATAAATCTATGAAAATGTCCAATTTAGGTCCTTAATAGTTCTGTTCAGCAGACTCTGTGGCTTTGGGAGAAGGAATGCAGGTTTCTTATAGAAGAAAAAATCTCATTAAGGATAGCATGGGGTTGAAATACCTGTGATGGAACAGTAGATGATGTGAGGAGCAATCTTGTCTATATCTTCATACCCTAGGCCCATCTCAGAAAGTTTGCCAGGGACATAGTTTTCCACAAACACGTCACAGATGGCTGCAAGCTGAAGGAAGAGGTAAAAATTAATTAGATTTTTTTGAGGAACTTCCAAACCTTCAACAACTTTTCCCACATAATAATGCTTTCATTTTAATAAAATTCTCACATTGTAAGAGTCCTCAAAATAATCCCAGGATAAATGAAGCATGTTTATGCAAATATAAAATCTTGATCAATTACTTGAACTATCACAATCAAGAAAATAATGGTTATAATATTTTTGTAAATGTATGCTATTAAATAAATTCTGTATCCTTCAAGTGTAAGAAACATTTACTGAACATAGTCTGTCGAAATGTATTCTCAGAAGAATAAGTAAAAGTAAAGTATAAGTACATAAAATAGATTCAAAAAAATCTCTTAAAACCTTTACCAAAAAGCCCTAAATGCAATTATATAATATATATCATCATTATAGTCTATTCTTCTTTTATACTATTTCTAATTACAATACAGTTTAATACATTAGAACATGATTCTGAAATGCCTTCATACTTTCAAGTGCGTTTTCCAAAGAATTTTAAGTTTCTTTCATGAGCTGTATTTTGTTTTGATTTTCAGCAACTGAAGGAGTGAAACTTAGCAGACATCTCAAAAGGAGATTATGTCATCCTTTGAAGTTCTAGAAATAAAAGCACCAGATGAGTTCATGACCTTTCTGGAGACATATGAAAAATACATTAAGAAACATGAGGATCATAACACTACTCCCGAGCAGGGGTTTATTTACTTCGCATCTTAGAGGTTTGAGGATAAACCACCAATATTAGCTGAGGCCCAGTGAGGACTTCGTGGGGAACACCATTACAGGGCATGAAGCATATGCAAGAGGGATCAACCACACTGTGAAACACGAGGACAGAAAGCAGGGTTTCATTATTCTAATGAGAACTGGAATCCCACGGGAACCATCTTAACTTATTTTGAGGACAGATACTATCATGACCATCTTCCATTTCCACTATATTCTGCCTCTTACTTGTCCCACCATATCCCAACATTGTCATACTGAGGACTAAACTTCCGAAATAGGAATTCTTTTTTTTTTTAAGATTTATTATTTATTATGTATACAACATTCTAACTCGATGTATGCCCGCACGCCAGAGGAGGGCGCCAGATCTCAGTACAGTTGGTTGTGAGCCACCATGTGGTTGCTGGGAATTGAACTCAGGACCTCTGGAAGAGCAGCCAGTGCTCTTAACCTCTGAGCCATCTCTCCAGCCCCCCGAAATAGGAATTCTTGATGCCACATTCAACCCAATCCAAATAATAGCAGAAAAAGAAAAGTTGCATGTGTGTAATGAATATATCATTGGATACAGGTATCCTTTCCAAATCTCAGGTTAAGCTGAAAGGCCTCTTATATAGGTGAGCTTTACAGCAGACTCCAGGTGTATTATTCTATTGCTATGATTAAATGCTCTGAGTAAAATCGACTTAGTGGAGAATAGGGTTTATTTGGTTTACACTTCCAGATCCGATCTATTATTAAGGAAAGTCAGGGCAGGAACTGAAACAGAAACCATGGAGGACCTACTTTCGGGTTCATGCCCTGATAACTTTCTTCTACAGCCCAGACCCACCTGCATAGGGATGGTACCACCCACAAATGGAAGGACTTCCCACTCCAGTTGTCAATCAAGACAATCTCTCATAGGCACAACTATAGGTCAATCTGATCTGGACAATTAGTTCCTCAGTTGAGGTTCTCTCTTCCTAGATGACTCCAGGTTGTGTCAAGTTGACAATAAAAACCAACCAGCACACCAAATGAGCCTCCACACAAGGGCATTTTTTTAATGCTGCTGATTCTACCAAATGGTTCTTAGGAGAATGGAAGGAAAGTACTGCTATTAAATGCAAAACACACTTTAGTTACATCTTAACTAATTCTCAAATTTGTTGATCTGTTACTAACAAAGCAGCCCTTGCAGGTATTGTAAGAAAAAAAAAGAAAAGAAATGAAAGGACTAAAGAAAGAACAAACGAACTAACGAACAAAAGAAAGAAAGAAAAACTATCAAGTATAGCTAGGCTTCTATACTGCTAATATTTGTTGCAATTTGCACTACATAATAACTAATACAATGTTCAATTATGCAAATTCCATTAAATACTTTTTAAAAACACTATTAGGTTGCAGAGGAGATAAGTCAGCAGGTAAGATTATTCTCTACCCTGCTGCACTTCTAGAAGATTCAGGTTCAGTTGCCAGCATCTACATGGTGGTTCACAATCATCTGTAGCTACAATCCCAGGGAACTCTAAAACTTTCTTCTGGCTTTTACAGGCAGCTCATATATATGGTGGGCATACAAACATACAGGAAAGACACCAATACACATAAAATAATAAACAATAATCATTAAAATTGTTTAAAACCTATGGCAGAATCCTTTCTCCAAAAATATCCAACAACTTGAGTTTGATTTCCAGAGTTTACAGGAAGGAGACAACTGACCCTCACAAGTGCTCCTCTGACATCCACATATACTCCATGGCACTTGCATGCCCACACACAATAGATAGGTAAAGATGGATGGATGATAGATAGATGATAGATAGATAGATAGATAGATAGATAGATAGATAGATAGATAGATAGATAGACTGATAGATTGATTGATAGATAGATAGATAGATAGATAGATAGATAGATAGATAGATAGATAGATAAATGAAATGTTTGGCCATTTTTAATCGAAAATAGATTCTCCTCTCATACGATACATCCTGACCACAGTTTCTCCTCCATTTACTCCTCACAACTTCCCCTCTACCTGTCCTCTCCCCCTAGATCTCAGGGCATGCCTCAAAGAGACAATAACCAAACACAACAAAACAAGACACAATACGACAAGGTAAAAGATCTCATATTGGCCAGGCAGTGGTGGCGTATGCCTTTAATCCCAGCACTGAGGAGGCAGAGGTAGGCAGATCTTTGTGAGTTTGAGGCCAGCTTGATCTACAAAGCAAGTTCCAGGACAGGCTCCAAAGCTACATAGAGAAACCCTGTCTTATAAACAAAAACAAAATAACAAAACAAAACAAAACAAAAGACCTCATATTGAGGCTGGACAAGGCAACCCAATAGGAGGAAAAGAGTCCCGAATATGGGCAAAAGAGTCAGAGACAGGCCTTCTCCCACAATTAGGAGTCCCACAAAAACACCAAACTAACAACCATAACAGATAGGTAGAGGCTTTGGTGCTGACCCATGCAAGCCCTGTGCTTGCCACTTCAGTGTCTGTGAGTCCTTATGAGCCCTGCTTAATTGGTTCAGTGAGCCATATTCTCCTGATATCCTCCATCCCCTCCGACTCCTACAGTCATTCCTCCCACTCTTTAGTGGTGGTCTCTGAGCTCCAAGCAGAAGACTATATAGAGACCTCCCCCAAATTAGAGAATTTAAACTCTGTCTCTGAATAATATGGTTGTGAGTCTGCACCCATCCCATCCACTGCTGGAGGAAGCCTCTGTGATGATAACCAGACAAGGAGCCGATGAATGAGTATAGCAGAATGTCATTAGGGATAATTTCAATGACTGTGTTTCATTATACCCTAGGTTTCTATATTATCTGGTCTCCAGTTCCTGGACATCCAGGCAATGTAAGAGTGAAGGCTCCATGTAGGTACCATTCAAACTGCTCCACATTCAATGAGCTATGTGGATACAGTCCTCAGCAATGAGGCCCCACTGTTAGTTTTCTGAGAGCAACCCTCTGTCCTAGCATCAGCCTGTGTTGTTTAAGGATCTCCATGGGACCCCATTGCCCATTGGCCAATAACTCAACTGAGTAAAATAAAATAAAATCCAGTCCCACCACTGGAAGCCTTGCCTGGCTACAAGAGATAGGCAGTTCAGACTTTATATCCTCTATTACTAGAAGTCCTAACTAGGGTTACCCTCATAGATTCCAGGAAGTTTCCACTGCACTAGATTTCCACACCACTCCCCAACTGTCTCCCTCAACTCCAGCCGACATTCCTTACATTCTCTTCCTCCATCCCTTCCCCCTCAACTTGATCCCACCCACTCCCCCTTCCCTCCACACACCCAGTTCACCCATGAAGAATCACCATATTGATTTCCAAAGTAGCTGTACAAGTTTGCACTCTCACCAATAGCGGATGAGTGTTCCCCTCATGTCCACATCATCACCAGCAGACACAAATAATAAAAACCCAGAGACAGATATTGAGGTTCAACCTGAAGATCAAAAAAGCCAAACAGCCAGCCACTGGCTCTTACCCCTCCCTCAGACCACAAATGGGTGAGATCCTGTCTCCACAAATCCTGAAGACTCCACACCTCACACTCCACACTGAGTTCCTGTCTCTTTCTCCTTATATTCCTCTCACCACCCAGTCATATAGCTCCTATCTCCAACTCCCTAGTGCTGGGATTAAAGGCATGTGATCCCAAGTGCTGGGATCACCTTTGTGTGAGCTCTGTTTCTCTTTTAGACAGATTCAACATTGAGTAACTCAGGGTGGCCTTGAACTAACAGATACTCGTCTGCCTCTGTCTCCCAAACCCTCACATTGAAGGTGTGTGTCAGTACTCACCTGTATGACTGACTAGTATCGCTGCTTTGTCCTCTGATCTTCAGGCAAGATTTATTTCTTAAAACACAAATAATATACTACTACAAGCTGTCACTTGTTTATTGGTCTTAGCCATTCTGAGAGGTGGAAAATGGAATCTCAAAGTAGTTTAATTTGCATTTCCCTGATGACTAAGGATGCTCATGTTCTTTCAGTATTTCTCTGCCATTTGAGTTTCCTTTATTGAGAATTCTCTGTTTAGATCTGTACTCCATTTTTAATAGGATTATTTAGGATTTGTTGCTGTTGTTGTTGTTTTGGTATCTAGTTTCTTAGTCCTTTAGCTGATGTGGAATTGGTAAAAATCTTTTCCCATTCTATATCTTCCCACCTTTTCAGAATGACTGTGTCCTTTACCTTATAGGAGCTTTTCAATATCATGAAGTCCCAT